AAGGATGTAAGGCAGGGTACGGTCCATCTTGGACTCTCAGGCTCTCTCACAGGACAGGTCTTCCTGACCTCTGAAAAAGAAAGACACATCCACACCTAACCTCTGAGGAAAGAGGAGAATCTGAAAAGCTTTTCAGAGAAGCCAAAGAGCTTCATAGAGGCCGGGCCGTCTGCTCCAATTCTCTGGCCTGCCCCTGACAGGACTGCAAGGAGCACCGAAGGCCTCGGGCGTAGTGTCTCAAAGAGCCTGTTGTTGGTGTGGGCCAAGAACTCACAAAGAGCTGTAGCGCTAGTGTTCAGTGATTCCCAGCACTGTTGATGGATGACAGGCTCTCTGTGTCTGGGTCACCTCTGTAAGGTAAATAAAGTATCAGGCTTTTCTGCCCTCCCGCCATTGGGCATAATGATAGATCCTTGCGGTCCTGAATGCGTGCCTAATGGCGGGCACCTGGAGTAGGGTGTAGGTATATGTAGATGGGATTCACCTGGGCCAAGGCCGGGGGTTATAAGGGTGGCGCAGTGGCGTGCAGTGTGGTGGTGCGGTGCCGAGGATGGGAGAGTGCGGTGGAGTGGATGGAGGATTACGGCAGAGCGTGGCGGAGCGCGACAGAGTACAGTGACAACGAACAGCAGAGAGCATGAAGACAGTGTGGCTGCTAGAACCAGGAGAGAAGCAGAAGCAGAACCACAAGAGGAGCAGAGAACAAGGCCACGAGAAAATGCCAGAGAGCCCAGTGTAGGGTAACGAAAATGTCAGGCTTTTCTGCCCTCCCGCCATCAGGATAGATGATGGATCCTTGCGGTGCTGAATGCATGCCTGATGGCGGGCACCTGGAGTAGGGTGTGGGCATAGGTAGATGGGATTCACCTGGGCTAAGACTGGGCTTTTAAGGGCAGCGTCACGGGGACGCCAGCGTAAGCTGAAAGAGAAGCCGAGAAAGAAGCAGCAGAAGCCGAAAAAGAAGCCGAGAGAGAAGCAGAGAAGAAGAAGCTGAAGCAGAGAAGGCCAGAGAGCCCAGCTAGAGTGAGGATTTGCTGGGGGCTGGGAGGCCTGCCAGCCTCCCGGCCCCCCAGCACTCCTGCCCGCCATATGCCTGGTGAACCCCAATGAAAGTCCTGCAGAAACCCACTGAGGACTCTGACTCCCCCTTTACCCGGTCTGCTAGATCAGAAAACCTGCACCATGTCCATTCCTGCCCCCTACACCCAGATAGAGTGAAGACTTGCTGGGGGGCTGGGAGACCTGCCAGCCATGTTCCTGGTAAATCCCAATAAAAGCCTGCCAAAGCCACCGAGGGCTCCAGGACTCCTTCTTCACCCCATCTGCTCAGATCATAGAGATCCTGATCCATGTCCTCCTGCCCCTTACAACCTCTGAGAGCTGTTAACCGCTCCTGGTCAGCTGGCAGTTCCTGGGGCTGCTGCCTCCTTGGCTGTCTCTTCCAGCAGCTGGTGCTGTACATCTTGACCTTCAGACTTGCTGCGGGCTGCTGTGGCATCATCTCAGTGGCCCTGCCTGTGAGTGCCTCCAGCTGCGGTGAGTTGGACCCTGGCCTGGGGATTGCTAGTGTCCCATGAGCTCCAGGCCTCATTGACAGGATGGCGACGTCTTAAACAAGTGGTCTTTTGTTTAGGACTTTTGGACACCGAGGATACTAACTGGGGTGAAATAGCCAGTCACTTGTGGCCTTGAGAGCTCCTTGTTTCCCATTTGTTAAATAAACCCCATTGTTATTATTCTCCCAAATTGAGTGGTCATGTAATTTTGCGCATGGGTGAGAACCCATAAAGAGTGTCCTGTACTCTACCTGGTCACTGTCATTTGACCTGCTATATCCACCCCCATAGCACATCCTTACTCATTTTTGCTGGGTAGCTAATATAGGTGGGAAGAGTTAGAAAATCTCTCCAGTTTATTGAGTGGAATTATTGAAAGCTATGGTTATCTGCAATAGCATGCCTATGCCAAATTCATTATTTTAAAATAAGAATTTAAATGTTTGGTGAGTGTTGTAATTGTTTTGGCACATCTTCTTATCCTAGCATTTTACAGCATAAGAAAAAACCTGATGCTACTTAAATCAACGTTTGGCGGTTTCAATATACAGGAGCCAGATGAAATGCAACAGAAGTGTCTGAAAAGATTTGGAGTCCAATATTGCATTAAAGTACAAATTATTATCTTCTTCATCTAATGCAATAAAAACCTCATTTCAAATAATTGCTCTAGAATTCTATTAAAAGTTCTGCTTCAATCAGGATATCTGCCAAATTACTTTGGGAAGATCCTGAACTTTTTGAAACTATTTCTTATTGGTGGGATGCAGATAGGTCACCTTAATTAAATCTGATACTTGTATACATCCCACTCTTTATGAATTCCTCAGAAACTTTATGAATTCCTCAGAAACTTTGGAGCAACCTGGGTTTGATGTAGGCTTCTAAGTTACTACTGTCTAGACACAAATTCACTTATTCAGCCTGGATGCAGGTTTGGGTAGATCCACTCATTGTAATCTGTGCTATATGCTCCATCCACCCATCCTTCCAATGGGGAAGGACAAATCTTATATAAAAAAATGTGACTCCGGTATATTGAAATTGCCAAATATTAATTTAAGCAGCATCCATTTTTTGGTAGTGCTTTATTAGTTTGTTAATAGATTTTGTGACCAAGTGTGCTAATTTGTTTATAGTAGCTTCATTTTTAAAAAAAAATAATACACTCACCATCTTGGACTCTATGTCCTAATTGTTTGTCTGAAAAAAAAGTGCACTGTATTTTGAAGATGTTGGTGACATATTCCAACTTCTGTGATAAAGCAAGCTAAGGAAAGAACTCTGATGCTGGTCAAGGTCAAGCACACAATAAAGCAATATCTTAAAATTTTGTAGGCTACAGTTCTTACTCTTCCTTAAAATCCGCCACTTTGTATTATTCTCTTTTGGTATGTTTTAAAGGAAGAAAGAAATAGATTCATTCTTTTTTCTCTGTTTCTTAATCCTGTACAGTTAGAAGAGTAAAACATCTCATTGTGTTATTTTCCTTGGCCCTAAAAGGACAAAAGTGGAAAGTTTGTGCTTTAGGGAATGCCATTCTCATTTCCTTGCTTGTTTCCCACTTTGGGGTTGTCTCTTTCTTTGGTTTCTGTGCTTCTCTCAATGTCTGTAAAGAGCTGAAGAGCCAAGTTAAGGCACCGGTTATAAAGGGAAAAAAAATTCCCTTAGCCAAGTCTTTTAGGCAGGAGATAAAACTGTAGTGTATGAGTTCACAGCTAGGGGGTTCACATTATAGTAATATATAGTGTGCATTTCCTGTTAATAGCTCCCTGCTGATCTCAGGCAATAAAATGCAGATGTAGACATTGTACCTTCTCAGCATGACTAAGAAGAGAGAAATAAAATTTTCATACTAAATTTTGTAAGTGTAACAAATGCTTGACACTTACGTACAGCTGAATGGATAGAAGGATGTCTGGAGAAATGTCTGGAGAAACATAACTCAGTTTTTTTTCAATTTTATTTGGTTTGCATTGAATTTTTAAGGAAAGTCAATGAACTACTTATAGATTGGTACTATAACTACAAGATTAATCTGTATGATCATAATATTCTCTTTTCCTAAATTTATTTTCTTATTCAACATGTAACAAATCTATGTGTAACTCAGCATCAGTTATGGAGAAAATTAGGACGCTGGTGACATCCATACTGGTTTTCACCTCCATCTAATTACATGATATCCTCACAGTATTTCCCTGAGGTTTAGCATCTTGTTGATGTTCTTTCAATATGGTAAGCCACAGGGAACTTTAGTCTGGTAGGTACAGAAATTTATGGTGGTAGAAAATGGATAGTCCATAAATGAGCCATCCAAGTAGCCATTTCACCATTAACTTTATATATGAAAACACATTGAATGTTGATTGTTTTTCCTAAAAGAGCAACAACATTTTTACTTGAAAATCAGCTACCTCTGATGAAATTTTACTGTTCCAGATGAGTGGAATTTTCTTATTTTTGTAAGGTAAAATTTATTTTGTTCATCTATATACAGATGATCTACTGAACAAGTGTAATTTCCTCTAATTTATTTTAATTGCCAATATTTAATGGCTGAATTGTTTGTATGTTTTAGAAAAAAAATACCAGAGTTCAGAAGTAGAAAGGCAGAGGGAAGTACCAGTATAATTTTCTGTTTATCAAAAGCAGTTTTCCTAAAATATCTTCCACAAATATCTGACAAGTAGCAACAACAAAAAAAAAAAATCTCCCACTAATTGCTTGTCAGTTTCCATGTATTTATCTTGAATGTAAACTGATTTTTCTACAGAAATAATCCTGAATTTATCAGTAACTGTTAACGGATTTTTAAAAATGGAGTGAAAAAGCATTTCATTCAAATTGAAGCCTTATTTTCAGCAATGGCTCATCATCATAAGGCAGTTTTTGTAGGGAACCCACACTGATAGCGTAATTCCTTTGTGAATGTGTGTGATTTAAAGGTGATGAAGGAGGTGCTTGGTGCTGGGGAGGAAGAATGGGGATATGGCAATATCAATTTAAGATTTAGAGAAAATAAAAAAACTTAGACTTGATGACTAAAATCCAAGCCCGGAACCCGGCAATTATGAGCTGGAAAGTATTCATGTAATTTATGAGTAACCCTATTTTTGGCTGAAACACAATTCAAAGGAATCACTCACTGCTTGAAAGAAAGCCCAGGTATATTGGCACAGTCACTAAAAAACAACATTTCTATAGTGCATCCAGCAACTCTTTATTACTGAAAGGGAATATAAGTGGAAAATCTCTCTCACTTGGGGCTTCAAAGATAGCCACTTACAGGCATTTTACTTTCTTAGTGTTAAAAAGATGAAATCATCATCCCTTTAAAATTCTTCCTATCAGATTTGTTATAGAGCAGCTTAATAACTTGTGATATTTTCCTTTTGCATTAACTATTTCTAACCTGTGCTTAAACTGTGTTTTCATGTAAAGGTTTTTCTGAAGGTCACACTGAAGCTCCTGTAACTCTGCAGTCCTTTAAAATTCAGCAAGAGGCTGTTTGAATTGAAACATCATGTCTTTGGCTCCTGCTAAGCATCTCTTCGACATGTGGAGTATTCAAGATCTTCCGGTGAAGTCAGTTCCCTCATCAACCTTGAACATGATTGATGATGATGTAAGGCTGCTTTGCTGATGGAATTGCAGGGAGCTGTGGTATATTTACGCTGAAAGGTAAGGTCACTCTATCCCATTAGAACATGACATCTAGCACAGATTGTGTGAGGCATAAAACTGGGATTTGATCATTTCTTTTGAAGCAATAAATAAAGGAGTCTATGAAAAAATGAACAAGTAGTTACTGAGTGTGGACTATTGCTGGGCCATGTAGCCTTACTTACAGTCAGCTATGTTTGGAATGGTTGACTCTTTCAAGAGCATTACTATTGGATAAGAAAATCTAGATCATGTTCAGCAAATGTACCGCACAACAATTGTCATTGCCTGAAGCATTATCTCAACCTGTATAATCTTAGAGTGTCATCTCTCAACACAGTTCTCCAGAAAGTCACTACCAATCAATCAGAGTTGGCATAAGAAAGTCAAATGTGTGTCCTTGAATGTTTAAACAAGTTAGCACAACCTTAATCCTATTTAAAAAAAAAATTTAGGATTTTCCATCTTTTTTCCATCTTTTTTTAAACTAGTGCATTTTGTATCACCCATTTATTTACTTGTGACTTAATCAAATTCCCTAAAAAGGGGGCTGGAAATTGTAGTTGAGTTTATGTTTATGGGGAAATAAATGCTATGTGTTATGGTAGGTACTGTTGTCTTTGCCCTAGATATTTAAGCAGCTCAATCACATAGGCAATACTTGAGAATCTTGTTAAAATGTAGATTTAGATTCACTAGATCTGGGGAAAGTAAATATCTGCATTTCTAACAAGGTGATGCTGGATGATGCCAGTCTTGCTAGTTGGTTCTCAGTCCACACTTGAAATAGTAAAAGTAGATAGTTGATTTTCAGTGGTGGGGGTGCATATTGGAATTACTGGCGAGCTCTAAAAATGATCAAGACTGATGTCCCTCCTCAGAGACGGTGACTCTGTCAGATCAGCATATGGCCTGCATATTTGGTTATTTAAAAAGTCCTCAGGTAATTGTAATATGTAGCCACAGTTGAACAGTCACTATTTTAAGCTGGCACAAGCCCTGTAGCTAGTATATTATTCCAACGATAAATAAAACGTAATTGGTTTCATGGAACCCACTTTAAAACACCTTTCTTCCCCATGCAGCCCTCATTCATTTTGATTTGGATCTCTATTTAGCTTCATACTTGTCTTTATGATATTTGACTCAATTTGTCCTCCTTTTTTCTCATTTGATGTCTTTTTTTTTCAAACGGGGGCCTTTTCTCAGGATGTTTAGGCTTGGTTTCTGCTTAGAGAAGCCCTTGGCACTCCCTAATAGAATCCCCCACTTATATTTTGGTCCCATAAAAGATGATAGGCACTGTGGCTTCATCATTTCTAACACTAAGGTAGTCAGAGACTTTTCTGAAACTTGAGACTTTGGCAGCTGTAGTTTCAAAATAAGAATCGCACAATTAAAACTATGCAGTTGGAAGAAAGCCTAAAAATGATGTCCAATACCCACATGTCACCCTCAGGTGACTCCTAATGAAAAACACCCTGGTAGATTCCTCTCACCTTGAATGATGCATAACCTGTGACTTGCTTCTAAGCAAGACAGTGTGACAAATGGAGTGGATGTCACTTCTGCCATTATATTTAGTTATAATGTAAGTCGTATTAGCAGACAAGAGAAAGGGAAGACCTTGGGGATCTCACTACTTCCCTTGAAGAAGCCACTCATATTGTGAACAGTGGAGAGAGCCACATAACAAGGAAAAGTGGATAATCTCTGAGGGCACCCTTTAGTCGCAGTCAATACAAAGATAGGTACCTCAAGTATGCAGCCCCAGGAAATGAATTCTACTAACAATCAAAAAAACCTTGTAAGCAGATTCTTTCCCAGTCAAGTCTACAGACAAGCATTCAAGCCAACTGACATATGCATAGCAGTCTGGTGAGACCCTAAAAAGACCACCTAGCTAAGCTGTGATGAGATTTTTAACCTACAGAAAACAGAGATAATAAATGTGTGTGTATAATAATTTGTTGTTAATAGAAAACTAATATAAACTCATTGTACAAATCAGGAAACAGAATCTATAGCTTATAGGACTTATGGATAATACCTTATTAGCCAGCAGCACAACCGAATATAGAACTCAGAACTCCTACCTTGCACATTGGACTTCTTTTATTATGACTTAATTTTTTGAGAGATGTATTAGGTTTACAGCAACATTGAAGAGAGAATGTACAGAGATTTCTCATATTCTCTCTGTCCTCCCCCAACGCCCGTGACTTTTCCCACTAGTAACATCCCTCCACAGAGTGGTAAATTTATTATAATTAATTATATATCATAATTTCTCAAAATCCATAGTTTGCATTACAGTTTAATCTTGGTTTTGTGTATTCCATGTGTTTGAACCAACGTATAAAGACATCTCTTTTTAATGCAATAAATGCATGACTAAATGTGGAAGGGCAGTTAAACAGATTTCATACAAAACACATAAGTTAAATAATGAAAACCATATAGAAAAAATTGTAGACTTTCCCCACCAATCATTTCTTTTTTATGGTGCTTTTTTTTCTTAAGTTGCTTCACAAAAAGTTATATAAGGATCATAGTTTTGAATCTGATTCTTTTTCAACCCTTCATCATTATTTGATAAGAAGGTATTGTACTTTTGAAAAATCATCCACAAAATGCAGAGGCAGAGGAAAATATATCTTTATTATGCAGTTGTCAAGGAAAGAAAATTTCATAATTATAATAGAAAAATATATTGAAGAAAAATTTAATTTTGCTTCAAAACCAGAAGAAAACAAACAAAAAACACTTGGAATAGTTGAAATTAAAACCTACTATAAAGTACATAATGATTGAGCATAATGAACACAAAGAATTATGTAAACTTTAAAAACATTGTTTCAGTTTTTTAAATGGAATACATTTTGGCATGGTTATTAGAAAAATACCTATTAAAGGTGATTTTCACAAAAATTTGAATAAGCAAATTCATTTTTCCCTGTTGTATTAAACTGTAATATCCAACCCAGTTCAAGGGACAAATACTGAGTTCTCTCTAAGGGTCAGGAATGTTAATCATTGGAATTGAAGAGTTAAATTAGGTATACTTTTTTCCCTTAAAGAGCTCATGGTCAAGTTCAGATCCTCGAGCCTGCTGGTATCCTCACCAGTGAGAAAAATGACAGTAATCAAACGTATTCGGTTCATATCATTGTGTTTTGATTGACCGAGTGGTGTTTGGTATAATGCTAAGTTCCCTGGATTGCAAAAGAAGCTGAAATACAATGTCCCTGCAGTGTAAGCACCTTATTGAAAGATTTTAGTATACAAAAATAGAGGGGTTGAATTTTATACCACAGTGGTAAAAGAATCTCTTCTTGTCTGTTCTCTTTTTAAATCTTAAATATCACAATTCTCTAGAAATGGATCATCCCATCCTCGATGAATCTTAACAAGTAGATTATCACCAACCACATTTATTTGTGTCATTCTGGGAAGATGACAATTTTTATCCAGATTTAAAGTGTATTGTTTGATCCCTGCTCATATGTCTTCTGTGTGGCTTTAGAAAAGTCATTTACCTACTCTTATCAAATGTCTCATCTATTAAATGTGTGTTTTGCAAAGTTGTAAAATTCCAGTGAAATCTCAGCACATGGACACTGGCACAGGTTAGATACTAAAGATAATATTTTTAGATGTGAAAAGGTTCTGCCCAATATTTCTTTACATTTTGCTCTTTAATAATTGAAACTTTAGCTGGTTTATGCCTAACTAGCTAAATACTATATTTACAAGCCTCCTTTGTAAATAGTTATAGTCCTAAAACTGGGTTCTGGGCAATAAAATGGGGAAAGAAGTTATTGATGCAGCTGCTAGTTTATGTCTTAAAAGGGAAGGTACTTGTTTCCCTCTCTTACTCTTTCTCTCACAAACTGAAATATGGATTTGATAATAAGCCATATTCAATTTGAAGCAAGCCCCTAAGGTGCCACAAAAATGAAAATGGGAGAGAATCTAGATCTCTGATACCATCAATCTTCCATACAATCAGTGAACTAACTCCTGAGGCTGTTTGGAGGAGAAAGAAAGAAATTTATCTTAGTGGAGAAAAAAGTCAACTATACTTTTGAATCTCTGAATCCAGACATAAAATCCTGTATCTTCATCAATATGTCAGTCAGTCTATTTTCAATCTAATCAGTATCCTGTCCCATGCAAATTGCCTGTATGCTTATGTTCTCAACAAATTATGTAAAATAATGTTACAATACATTCAATAACTTTGAGTTCTCACTTTTATAATTTCAGTATTGAAAACATTTTCATAACATAATTTTTTTCCTAAATATTATGGCTCCACAATTTTTTTCACACTGCTAGTGAATTAATCAAGGCTGTTTGTATACACCAAAGCTTGACATCTGTTCTGAGGCATTATTCATCTCTATTTCTGTTGTATGATATACCTTAAGAAACTGAAGATTTCTTTCCTCTTTGTACTGCTTTCCAATTATTACAAGATAAGAGAATGAGTTAGATTTCTCAGTCTGTAAATTGTACTATGTTAAAGGATCGAAGCTTCATTATTTTATCCTAAGGTTAACTCAACTATCAAGGTGGTTAAGTGGGATCATTTGAGTTAAGAATGACCAGTGATTGTCAGTTTCTTGTATCTGGGTTAATTCATGAAAGTGAATTATACCTCTGTGACTTATATTATCCCTGGAAATTATACGTCTAGATTTTCCTTTGTTGTTAATAATCCCAGTTCACTCTGTATGGATTACAAACACTTATTTGGTGATATATTTTAAATATTTTTTTCCAGAAATAAAACATCT